AACGCCAAAGAACCGACAAGATTTAAATACGTTCGGATTCTTAAAAACGATCATAGTTATTTTTGTGTGCTTATCATTATCTTTCCTTTTTTAGGCATATGTAAGAAATACATATATTATGTAAATTTTATGTCTTATTTTATTAATGGTTGTTGTTGTTGTTGTTGTTGTTTTTACTGATCAAATCTTTAGGCTAGTCAAAACGTTTGAATTTTTATCTGGTATCAGCATTATTAAAGCTTAACATCAGAGGCGTAGTGAAGGGGGTCAGGAGGGACATATGTCCCCGGGCGCCAGCTACTTAGGGGTGCCAAAATGTGCTGTTATATTATTTTATTGATGAAAATAACGGGTTTGAGAGTTGATAAAAGAAAGAGGGGCGCTTTAAAATGAATTTTGTCCCTGAGCGAGAATCTTTTCCCCGGGCGCCAAACACTCTCGCTACGCCTCTGCTCAGCATATGTTATTTTATTGACATAAATTGTTTTTGTCTCACTAGCCTGCCTCGAAGATTTATTTGTAAAGTATTGCTAAAATTAATTCAGGACACATTTTCTGATAGTGTAACCTATTGACCTCTGACCTGTGAAGCCCTCCACTACGTCGTGCACGATGTGACCAATCAGAGGGTTCCCGGCATCCCATGTCGTCACGAGGGTGACGTCGTCGCCAGCGAACACCTCGTCAGGGAACGTCAGGACGGGTTTGTCCGGCTTTTCTGGAACCAGATGTTAATGCTGACAGTTGTCAAAGCTTGTCATGGTCAAGGTTAGCATTACATTGGGCTTCCCATTTAAGAAGTTTAGCGTGTCAGAAATAGCATTGCCTTAGTGAAAGATTTTACTAGACAACTGAATCACAGCAACCAAACAATATATTGAATTCTGGGAATGGTTCAACTACTACCCTCATAAAACAGACTTACTTTTTATATCAACATTGAATGTCTTGCTGAAGAAAGTCTTGTTGACGTTGACCTCACAGATGTAACGACCTTTGTCCTCACACATGGCGTACTTCGTCTCCAGAACTAGGTTCACCATTTCGTCATCACGGTGCAGCGTGAAATCCGACATGCGTGAGTCGATTGGGATGAAAGGCCACTCGTCTCGCCTCTCAATGCCGCCTGTGGGAAATTTGAACGATTCATTGAATCAATGGATGTGGAGTTGGAGACTGAAATGTTTTTTTTTTTTTTTTCTGGAGTTTAGAATGGTTGGCGTTAAGAATGTCTGGAGTTTAAAATGTCCAGAATTTAGAATTTCAGAAGCTGATAATGTCCAGGGTTTAGAATTTCAAGGGTTAAGAATGTCCAGAGTTAAGAATGTCCAGAGTTGAGAATGTCCAGAGTTAAGAATTCCAGAGTTGAGAACATCCAGAGTTGACAATGTCAAGAGCATAGAATGTCAAAAGTTTAGAATTTTAAGAGATTAGAATGTCAAGAGTTTAGAATGTCAAGAGTTTAGAATATCAAAAGTTTAGAATGTCAAGAGCTTAGAATGTCAAGAGTTTAGAATGTAAAGAGCTTAGAATGTCAAGAGTTTAGAATGTCAAGAGGTGACAAAGCCCAGAGTTAAGAATGTTTAAAGTCGAGAATGTCAAGAATAGAGAATGTCTGGGGTTAAGAATGCCCGTGGAGAATAGTCAGGACTAAGAGTTAGAATGTTGTGGCTAGACACGGGTTATTATTTTATTTATATGTCCGAGGAAAATACTTTTGGACACCATGCATGCCACTGCTATTTTATTCCATCAAAAACATGGATTTTCGTGACCAAAAGCCCGGATAACTCCAACAATGTCAACCCAAATACAGATAAGTCAAACTGTTTTGAAAAATTCTCTTAAATTTTTTAATTGATTTGTTATTGACCCAACAATTCATCGGTTCAATATCTTCCATCATCACGTGTTACAGTTGAGTGTCAAAGTTGGACACTCCAAAAACTATTTCAAGCCTAAAAAATATTTTTTATTAATTGTTCCTTGGTCAATGATTAAATATTTTATTCTAGGCGGACACTTTTATCACATCAAATGTTCGGCTGTAATTTTAATGAAACAAATAAACTGTCTTTCTGGCAGAAATAATATTTAAGTTTTTCCCCGGAAAAAAAATGTAATACATTTAAAATATAACGATGTATTATGTAAATGGATTGTAAATCATCGATTCTAAATGGTGTCTTTGGCTTAGTTAGATCTTTAAATATAATAATTCTACTCCATAGTCTGATGGTGCAGAGAAAATACTAGAATACGCTACTTCAGTTCCGAGGTCTCTCGAGCGTGATTCTAAGTACGTTCAGATTATCACTCACCTAAAAACTCGAGGGTAAACGAGCTCTCGCCCTCGTATCGCGAGATGGCCATGTAGGTCCAGCCCCAGGCCTCCTTGGCCGTGCAGCCCACCTTGAGGTTGCCACTTATGGTCATCCCGATCTCCGCTACAATGTCGTGGGTAATAAGCACAACTGTCCAGAGTGAGATAGAAGAAAGAACACTTAAGAACTATTCCACATTGCAAAACGAATAAGTTTTTAAAGCGAAATGAATATTACATCCAAAATATAATAAACTAGGGTTTATCCGGTTGCAGATTTCTTTACACCGCATCCAGGTATTTTGAGAAAATAACCAGTGGATTTAAGAGTTACTTGAAAAAAAGAGTTAACTTCTCATTTTCTAATTTTTTTTTTAAATTAGGCCTACAGACTGTCCTACACCCTCTTTGTCGGACTGTCTGTAGGCCTATTGTTGAAGGGCTGGCAGGAAGGTTGTAGGGCTGTCAGTAGACCTATTGTTTAAGGGCCGACGGGTAGGATGTAGGACTGTCTGCAGGCCTATTGTTTAAGGGCCGGCTTGTATGGTGTAGGACTATCTGTAGACCTATTGTTTAAGGGCTGGCGGGTAGGTAGTAGGACTGTCTGTGGGCCTATTAAGGGCCGGCAGGTAAGGTGTGGGACAATCTGTAGACTTATTGTTTAAAGGTCGACATAGATTATTGAAAATGAGGAATTAAAGTTTATTTTTGTAACACTTAGACCCACCAGGTATTTTCTCAGTGCTTCTCTACACCGAGCTAAACTTTACATTACGCTAAATGTACGGGGGGGGGGGTGTTTTGTTTTCTTTAAATTACTTTTAGGTGGTTTTTGCGTGCGAGGGGGCGGGCGTGTTGTCAGCACCGGGGGCGTCACCGCCACTTTGCTGGCAATGGCGAAAGGGAGGACCTCTGGCGGAGGCATGTCTCGGATGACGCTGTCGTAATCTGTCATAGTGTGTCCGACGACCTCTCCTGGTGGGCCGGAGTTGGACTCGCCAAAGGAAAGACCGTCCGGACTGTTGGAGTTTCCGTAGACAGCTGTTGGGATTAATTAGAGAAATTAATAAAAGATAGAGTATCAACTCATTATCCGTCATCATATTTGCTAAAAAAAGGGGGGCTTGGACATATGTTATCTATCTGATGCCCAAGAGTTAATGCCCAACACCTCTGCGATTCTAAATGGTGGTATGCCACTTCTTCAGACTGCTTGGTGGGATTACCCGACGAATCAAATTTTTTTTAATGGATTTAAATGTTAAGCACATGAATAAGAGTTGTACATCAATTCAACAAAGTCTATTGTTCTCTTTTATTTGTATCATATTCATTGTTTAAGCCAGTGGTTCCCAAACTTTTTTTTAGTGACCCAGTTGTTATTATACGTCTCCTTCGTGACCCATTAACATTTGTATCGCACATAGCAGGTTTTCAAACGTTGTGTTTTTCGTTGTTTTGTGTGGGGGTTTTTTGGTGACCCGGTAATTTTGCTTCTGTGGCCCGGTACAAGGGTACGACCCGGCATTAGAGAAACGCTGGTTAAAGGCGTTAAAAGCCACAATGACCCGGGAGAAGTTCAAATGTTCTACTTACCGTTGAGTTGTTCCAGCTCTCGCTCTTTGTTGAGGGTAGCTGGCATCATCGTGGTGGTGGTGGTGGTGGTGGTGATCAGGTTTCTCCTGCTTTGGAACGGAGACCTGGGGTAAGGTGAGACGGGTCTGGGAACAAATCTTGTCGTCGTTGTTTTAACGGTCAAGCCGGGCATCTCCCTCGTACCGGACCTTGACCCTTGGTCCGTCAGCGGCTGGGGTTTTAACAAGGTGGTAGCTGACGATCGCGTAGGCTGTGGGATTACGGAACCCTGGGTGTTTCCTCCCCGAGGGAAATGACCTGAATTCATTGATGGTTCAGGTAGAGTTTTTTGGCGTGATGGTGACGATGACGGCAAGTTCCGCGTTGTTTCAAGTTCTGTAAGTAACCCAGCGCCAGAATGTGCTGAGAGGTCACCGCCAGAACGTGCTGAAAAGTCACCGCCAGAAAGTCCTGATAAGTCACCGCCAGAACGTGCTGAAAAGTCACCGCCAGAACGTGCTGATGAGTCCCCGCCAGAACGTGTTAAAAAGGCACCGCCAGAACGTGCTGAAAAGTCACCGCCAGAAAGTCCTGATAAGTCACCGCCAGAACGTGCTGAAAAGTCACCGCCAGAACAAAGGCACCGCCAGAACGTGCTGAGAAGTCACCGCCAGAACGTGCTGAGAAGTCCCCGCCAGGACCTGTAGAGAAGTCACCGCCAGAACGTGCTGAGAAGTCACCGCCAGAACGTGTTGAGAAGTCCCCGCCAGGACGTGCTGAGAAGTCCCCGCCAGGACCTGTAGAGAAGTCACCGCCTGGACGGGCTGTGAAGTCCCCACCAGGACGTGCCGAGAAGTCCCCAACAGAACGTGCCGAGAAGTCCCCACCAGAACGTGCTGAGAAGTCTCCACCAGGACGTGCTGAGAAGTCCCCACCAGAACGTGCTGAGAAGTCCCCGCCAGCACGTGCCGAGAAGTCCCCGCCAAGACGTGCTGAGAAGTCACCGCCAGTCCAAAATGATTTATTCCGAGCCTCCGAAAATGAAGAGAAATCAAACTTTACAGTCTTCTCTGACAAAGGACGTTCATTGAGGCCCACAGTTGACGTTTCATTTGTACCGTTGTGTTCTATATTGCTCGACCCTGAGGATTCCCCCGAAGTTGTTTCTGAAAATGTGGGCTCTTCGGAAGTTTGTGACAGTGACAGAAAGCTGTTTCCGAAGTCTTCGCCTTTCCCCGAGGCCGTGGCTGGCCAATCTCTGCGCTGAGACGCCGTTGAGCCTATCTGCCATGTGGTGACGTCACCCGGTTGGAATCTGCTTCGTGTCAGTTGTTCAAAACGTGAAGTCGATTGTGTCGTCATGTTAGTTTGGTCGGAATGGGAGAGATGTTCAATATTTAGAGTATTCGGATCTTTCCTTGGCGATGTTTCAAGCTGTTGTGTATTTTGTCTCTGAGCGGGATTTGAACTGATCGAATCCGTCAGTGTTTGAAACGTGTTGACAGTCCCGGCGGGGTTGAATATTTCGTTCATCACGGAGCCGGTGTCGGAGAGGGCGGGGTCTTCTAATCCGAGGCTTGCTTCGGAAGACGCGTTGGGGTGTGGGCTTGCAGGGTTGACATCCGCTGACTCGCTGTACTTGTGGGTGGAGCTCGTTAGTGACACCTGAAGGTGCTCGAAAAGATTGGTGAACGTTGGAAAGGAGATCGGACTCTCAGAGGTGGAGATGTTAACACCCGATGGGGATGGGTGGGAGGAGGATGTGGGAGTAACAGCGTGTGGGGCTGACGTCCTGTTGATGTTGGTAGAGGAGAGGCTCGTTGGTGACGAGGAAGATTGGATTTTGGCTGGTGAAGATGGTATATGTGATAATGAAGAAGGTATTTTGGAGGATAAAGATGGTATTTGGGAGGTTGACGATTGTGTCTGGGATGATGAGGATGGTATTCGGGACAATGAGGGCGGTATTTGGGATGATGAAGAACGAATTTCGGATGAGGAAGATTGTATTTGGGATGATGAAGAGGGTATTTTAGAGGATGAAAATGGCATCTGGGGTGATGAAGATGGTATTTGGGATGATGAAGATTGTATTTGGGATGAAAAATATGGTATTTGGGAGGATACGGATGGTGTCTGGGATGTAGAAGATGGTATTTGAGCTGATGAAGAAGGTATTTGGGATGATGAAGAAGGTATTTGGGATGATGAAAAGGGTATTTGGGATGATGGTGGAGGTATTTGGGATGATGAAGATGGTACTCGGGATGATGAAGATTGTATTTGGGATGAAGAATATGGTATTTGGGAGGTTACAGATGGTGTGTGGGATGTAGAAGATGGTATTTGAGCTGATGAATATGGTATTTGGGATGAAGAAAATGATATTTTGTCAGATAACGAGGGCATTTGGGATGATGAAGATGGTTTTTGGGATGATAAAGATGGTATTTGGGATAATGAAGATGGTATTTGGGATGATGAAGATGGTATTCGGGATGATGAAGATGGTTTTTGGGATGATGAAGATGGTATTTGGGATGATGAAGATGGTTTTTGGGATGATGAAGATGGTATTTGGGATGATGAAGATGGTTTTTGGGATGATGAAGATGGTATTTGGGATGATGAAGATGGTATTTGGGATGATGAAGATGGTATTTGGGATGATGAAGATAGTATTTCAGTGGATGAAGATGGTATTTGGGATGATGAAGATGGTATTTGGGATGAAGAATATGGTATTTTGTCTAATAACGAGGATGATGAAGATGGTATTTGAGATGATGAAGATGGAATTTGGGATGATGAAGATGGTATTTGGGATGATGAAGAAGGTATTTGGGATGATGAAGATGGTATTTGGGATGATGAAGATGGTATTTGGGATGATGAAGATGGTATTTGGGATGATGAAGATTGTATTTGGGATGATGAAGAGGGTATTTGGGATGATGAAGATGGTATTTGGGATGATGAGGATGGTATTTGGGATGATGAAGATGGTATTTCAGCGGATGAAAATGGTATTTGGGATGAAGAATATGGTATTTTGTCTGATAACGAGGGTATTCGGGATGATGAAGATGGTGTTAGGGATTTTGAAGACGGTGTTTGAGATACTGTAGAGGATTGTCGATTTAGTCTGGAGGCTGTCTGAGTTGCAGACGGGGCTAATGCAGTGACCAAAGAGGACGTCAGTTTTAGAAATGACCGAGGTGAATGGTCAGCGAAAGGCAAAGTGGGTCCGGCCGTGGAAGCGCCTCGCGCGCCACCTCGGCTATCAGATCCTACTGATGAATCCGACTCAACGCCAAACGACGATCCACCAGTGGCATTAAATTGAGATCCATTCAAATACGCACCGACAGTGATATTTACGGCTGGCGTCGAGGATGGTTCAACGACATACGCCATTGTTGTCGACTGAGTGGTCCGAGAGTATGTGACAGAGGTTACGTCTGCGGCATTGACCAGCCTACTAGTCCGTTCAAACGATCGTTCAGTGACATTAGCAGCTAGACTGTTTGTATCGGATGTCGTTTGGTTGTCGTGAATTTCGGAAGAGGCGTGGCCAGGGATGCCCACTTCCGCAGACACCGATGGAGACTGCTGAGAACTGGGTGGTTTTGATGACATGTCTGTGGTATGGGACAAAGAATGTGACGCTGGGGGAACCATGGCGTGCGATGACGTCATATCTGATAGTGACGTCATCGTCGTTGATATCGAGTCATTCGACTTTAAATTTTTTGTATTTTGTGATTTTGATTGGAAAAAATCTGTGGATTGAAGCATAATTATCTGTTAGTATACCGTTGCCAAAATTACGTTCAACTTCATAAAACTTTTTTTACTTTAAATTTCGTCCTAAGTCAAAGGCTGGTTAACCCAACTTTGCCTTCCATATTTTAAAAACACATTGTAAGAGATTTTTAGTCGATATCTTTCTCAGGATCAAAAACAGTGACACTGTTTATAATTCATTTAGCATGGTCTATGATATATAAATGCTTGAGAGCAGAGCTCAGCAACCCCCTTTATCACGTGCGGCACACCCCAGGCCACTCCAAGCATTCCTCAGCACACCCCAGGCCACGCCAAGCATTCCTCGGCACACCCCAGGCCACGCCAAGCATTCCTCGGCACACCCCAGGCCACGCCAAGCATTCCTCGGCACACCCCAGGCCACTCCAGGCATTCCTCGGCACACCCCAGGCCACGCCAAGCATTCCTCGGCACACCCCAGGCCACGCCAATCATTCCTCGGCACACCCCAGGCCACTCCAAGCATTCCTCGGCACACCCCGGGCCACGCCAAGCATTCCTCGGCACACTCCAGTCCACTCCAAGCATTCCTCGGCACACAGACCACTCCAAGCATTCCTCGGCACACCCCAGACCACTCCAAGCATTCCTCGGTATACCAAATGTTAAAAACATTCCTAACAATGAACTAAGTAACATAATATAACAAAAATAACAAAATAACAAAAAAATATATTAAAGATCATAAAATAAAAGTAACATAACAACAAAAATATGCTAAATAACATAATTTAGTTCACATTGATAACGGCGTGTCATTTAGGTTCTCTTACATGTATCTGTAGTAACTGTCTGTTTTAAAGATAAATCTGTTACTGCATAGTTGGGAAACTTAGCAATAGTTTACCAAATGTTCCTTCTGGATAAAAAGAGTTTTAGCAAATTTACGTGCCTACATGAACACTTTTCATAGTTGTGTGTGTGTGGGGGGGGGTGGGGGGTTGGGGGAATGCGCGTCACACTGGTATCACAGCTCCGCTTTAGAAAATGCTTGAACTCTTTTAATTTGTTGGGTTTTTTTTCAAATCAATCAAAAAATGGTTTAAATCGAAGCCCAATATGGAAAGCTGTCAGAACATTGTCGGGTGTCATGGGTAATTGTGGTTAAAAAGCATAAGTTATCACTGCCAAGGGCTCACCTTTATCCAGGTGTAAGTGCAGGACCACGCCCACAACGATTGACAGGAGCAGAAGCAGCAGCACGAGACCTATCGCTCCGGCCACCGTTTTGGTCTTTTTCTTGTTTTCGCTTTTGACGGAAACGCTGTAGGAATACATACAAAAGTCTTGGGATTATTTTTTTTCAAAAAATTTTTGTTACTGGTAATCTATATCGAATGGAGGGAATAATGAAACAAGTCTCCTACATTTAATACACTATTTGACCTTTATGGCGTTCTCAGAATTCTCTGTAACAGAATTTACTCCCTCCTCATCCTCATGTCCCTAAGTCCTTGGACCGTTGGGGCGCCACAGATGACATGTGAACCATCCTCCTCCATTTCTCTCTGTCTTCTGCACTACGCTCAGCATCGCCCAGTGTTAGTCCTGTCCACTCTTTGATTTATCCTCCCATCTTTTTCTTTGTCTTCCTCTTCTTCTCCCTCCTCTTGTGGTGCCCTGCAATCTTTCTTTGGCAAGCCCTTGTTTCCTTGTTACAAGGAATTTTCTCCCACAGAATTAAAATATTCACTTGAAGATCAACATCTACAACATGGCTGCCTCTTGCTGTTTGACAAAAGTCTTCAAAACTTTACTTTGATCTTCTTTCTAAGCTTTGTTTCAAATTGATGGCTTTAGTTTCAAAAGTTAACACAATAATTGGTGCATGGCGGCGTTATACATTAGATAATTTTAGGTCACTGGTTTAGGATCTGTGTGTGTGTTTGTGTATATGTTGTGTGTGTGTTTATATGTGTGCTTTGTGTGTGTGTGTGTGTTTGGGTGTCCATTTTTTATGTTCGCGTTTGTGTGTGTGTGTGTGTTTTGGGCGTGTGTGTTTTTATATGTGGTATATAATTTTTGATCATAGTTTTAAAAGACATATTTACAGGCATCTTACAGTTTTTCGTCTTCTGAAAGATGGCATGTGAGCGTAATCTTCTTCTTTCTCTCTATTCGGGGACTAATCCCTCTGGTACCGTGTCTTGCTACTTACAAGCTAGAACCGGTGCTTCCGTTGGTGGTGTAAGATATGCCCGACAAGACTCCTACAGTACCAAGTCTCAGATTACTTACAAGCTAGACACCGTGCTTCCTTTGGTGGTGTAAGATATGCCCGACAAGACTCCTATGGTACAGTACCAAGTCTCAGATTACTTACAAGCTAGACCCCGTGCTTCCGTTGGTGGTGTAAGATATGCCCGACAAGACTCCTATGGTACAGTACCAAGTCTCAGATTACCTACAAGCTAGACCCCGTGCTTCCGTTGGTTATGTAAGATACGCCCGAAATACTCCTATGGTACAGTACCAAGTCTCAGATTACCCGTGCTTCCGTTGGTGGTGTAAGATATGCCCGACAAGACTCCTATGGTACAGTACCAAGTCTCAGATTACCTACAAGCTAGACCCCGTGCTTCCGTTGGTTATGTAAGATATGCCCGAAATACTCCTATGGTACAGTACCAAGTCTCAGATTACTTACGAGCTAGACCCCGTGTCTCCGTTGGTGGTGTAAGATATGCCCGACAAGATTCCTATGGTACAGTACCAAGTCTCAGATTACTTACAAGCTAGACCCCGTGCTTCCGTTGGTGGTGTAAGATATGCCCGACAACGCTGAGATCTGAGAATTGCTAGACTTCCCAGACTGGCTTCTCTCGGCGTCTTCACATTCTGTAGAGGCAGTGAGTTGTAGGGTCGGTACGGGCAACTCAACCGGAGGTCGGAACGGATCACAATCTCTGTACCACTTCCGTAACAGCTCTAATGTCTGAAAAGATGGGGGGAAGGGGGGGGAGTAGATATCAGATTCAATGTT